TGGTAATAGGGACAACAACTTTAGAATTGAAATGACTTATTAGCATAAAATTTCCAGGTTATTTTTCTTTATTTAATGTGAATTGATCATAAATGCAATTTTTTTTTCTTTTTCTGTCAAGATCTTCTCTTTTACTTATTGGTATAAAAATATGAAAAAATGTGTAACATATTGAAAACATTCTCATTTCTCAGAGAAAGTAAGCCCCACAGATCAGAAAAAAGATATAGACCGCACAGTGGGTGCCATCTGGAATAAGTAAGTTACCCTGGGAAGTAGTTGTGATGTTTACAAGGCTGAATACTGATACAGAGAATTCTATCCATCTGGCATAAAGCTTGCAAATAATCTGCCTCAGGGGTACATAATTCAATAGAAACAGGTTTGATAAACTAGAAGTAACATTCCCCATAGTCACCTTGAAAGAAACATTTAATGTATTATGCAACTGACTACCCTTCAGAAGCAGAGCAGTAGAGTTTTCAACATTTATAGGCAGGCAGACCTATATACTACAAAATCAGTTTGATAGGAAATGGAATCCACTATTCTCTTAACAGAAATCAAACACTGCAGGGTATCCACACCATCCACAGATTATGTGAAATTTCTGAGACAGTACTCTTTTTGAGAGAACACTGCATTTATATTTCATATAGATGCAATATATTGGAAACCATTTTAATGAATGTATTCAGATGCAGCTGGGATTGTACAAACGCCTGGAGAAAATGTGTGTAACCACAGAAAAAAATCTTAAAAGGCTGCAGGCGGAGCAGCCCTGACAGCAGTGATCTGAGCCAATGTCATCACCCCACACATTATCTACTCACAGGCAAAAAGATACCAAACAATAGTCTTGCTTAACAAGAGCAAAGAAATAAAGCTTAACATCACTCACTGGTCTGGCGATTTCTGGTCACGGGGGAAGTGGATAGCAGGTCGCTATTTGCAATTTCTGACCCACTGTTGCTAAGACGCACATTCCTCCCACTCCAGATTTATGTTGTTGTGGTTTTCAGTTGAAATCTTTTGTAGATGTTTGGGAGCTACAGAAAATACTTTTGGGGTAGAAAAGAGGAAAACAACAAAGGAGATAAAATAGCTTAGAGAACCATAATAAACATTTTAAGAAAATAGTATGCATCTCCAATTACATTCACAGAATCACAGAACGGTTGAGGTTGGAAGGGACCTCTGGAGATCATCTAGTCCAACCCCCCTGCTCAAGCAGGGTCACCTACAGCACATTGCCCAGGACTGTGTCCAGGCAGGTTTTGAGTATTTCCAGAGGAGGAGACTCCACAACCTCTCTGGGCAACCTGTGCCAGTGCTCCGTCACCCTCACAGGATAAAAGTTCTTCCTCACGTTCAGATCGAACTGCCTGTGTTTCAGTGTGTGCCCGTTGCCTCTTGTCCTGTCGCTGGGCACCACGGAGAAGAGACTGGCCCCATCCCCTCGACAGCCGGGTATCCCTTCAGATACTTGTACACATTGATGAGAACCCCCCCTCAGTCTCTCTCTTCTCCAGGCTAAACGGGCCCAGCTCCCTCAACCTTTCCTCATAGGAGACATGCTCCAGGCCCCTCATCATCTTTGCAGCCCTCCGCTGGACTCTCTCCAGGAGCTCCACGTCTCTCTTGTCCTGGGGAGCCCAGAACTGGACCCAGCACTCCAGGTGAGGCCTCCCCAGGGCTGAGCAGAGGGGCAGGATCACCTCCCTCCACCTCCTGGCAACACTCTGCCTCATGCACCCCATTGGACCCTAATGCCCTTGGCCTTCTTGGCCACAAGGGCACACTGCTGCCTCATGCTTAACTTGTTCTCCACCAGCACTCCCAGGCCCTTCTCCGCAGAGCTGCTTTCCAGCAGGTCAGCCCCCAGCCTGTACTGCTGCATGGGGCTATTCCTCCCCAGGTGCAGGACCCTGCACTTGCCTTTGCTAAACTTCAGGAGGTTCCTCTCCACCCCTCTCTCCAGCCTGTCCAGCTCCCTCTGAATGGCAGCACAGCCTTCTGGTGTGTCAGCCACTCCTCCCAGTTTAGTATCATCAGCAAACTTGCTGAGGGTGCACTCCGTGCCTTCCTCCAGGTCATCGATGAATCCATTGAACAAGACTGGACCCAGGACTGATCCCACTTGCTACAGCCCTCCAACTAGACTTTGCGCCACTGGTCACAACCCTCTGAGCTCGGCCATCCAGCCAGTTCTCAATCCACCTCACTGTCCACTCATCCAACCCACGCTTCCCAAGTTTTATCTAGGAGGATGTGATGGGAGACAGGGTCAAAAGCCTTGCTCAAGTCCAGGGAGACAACATCCACTGCTCTCCCTGCCTCTACCCAGCCAGTCATTCCATCAGAGAAGGCTATCAGGTTGGCCAAGCGTGATTTCCCTTGGTGAATCCATGCTGACTCCTCCTGATCACCTTCTTGTCCTCCAGATGCTTAGTGATGACCTCCAGGATGAGCTGTTCCATCACTTTTCCAGGGATGGAGGTGAGGCCGACATAACATCAACACTTTGTAGCTTTTTAATCAGTAGAATGGTTTCCACAGTAGATATATACGCTGGATATTAATTATTTTTTAAAACAAAATACAAAATTAACATTTATTCTACATGTCACAAAAAACACTGCTGTTGCATATTAAAAGGAATAGAAGTCTGAATCTACACAAAATTACCCTGGTCTTGTTAGTGCAGAAACTGTCGTGCCATCTCATGAATAGGTTCCTCTTTAATGTATAATGAAAAAGTAAATGAAAAATAGTTTTACTAATTTTTTTAATAACATATCTTTTCACTCATTTGTACTATTATTAATTAATTTGTGTATGTCCTTTTGGGTCAGCTGATTATTGTGCTGAGTATCAATATAACTTTTTATTTTCTCTGCTTATAAAACTGATCAAATAGTAGTGGCTGCAAGAGTGGGGTCTGAAAGGTATATTTGTTCCAATTTGACATCCTATTTTCTTGTTATTGGTAACATTGCACAGATTTAAAATATTAAGAATTCTGAACAAATAAAACATTTATTTTGTTCATTTACACTGTTTCCATTATTTGCTATGATATGTAATGGATTTGGGGAAATAATTCTACATTTCTGGCATATGTGGTATAGATCAGATACAGCTATATCATAATGGTTTTAGTCATATATTAGGGAGGGCTTATTAGATAATGTCTTACACTGTTCTTGAGGAAGAGAGCCAAATATTTGGAATTAACACATCCTATGAATGCATTGTCGGTTTCATAAACTTACTGTACCTATACTGCAGGCTAATGTAAGACTAGGTGAGAAATAGTTTGCTGATTTTAAGATTTCAAACAATGTATCCAGCCTCAGTTATGCTCAGTGTAAAAATCTCCAAAAAGGCTATATACCAAAAATCTGGGGAAGAAATAGGTTAGACAAGATATATTGTGCCACTCTTTAAAGAGATTGGAAAAATCATATTTTGTTTTGTTTTGGGAAAGTCAAAGGCTGTTACGTATTTGAAAATTCTTCTGAAAAGTCCGAGATAAACTATTTGTCAAATATCATCCCTTCCTCAAAATGTTTACTGCCAGTCAAGTAAAATTTTTTTATGATCCACACCACTAAAAAAAATCACAACCAGTTCCAGCATAAAGAACTCAAAAAACACCTTGATTGTCCTCCAAAATGGAAGGCACTGGCCTTAGCGATATTACAGCATTTCCTTGTGCTTTAGTTTCAGTTAAGTGGGAACAAACTTAACACTGAGCTTATTTGTAAAGCACTTTTCCAGTAATTTTTCATTGGCATATGTCAAAGCTATGTTCTTATTCTTAATATTTTGAAGTGAATTCTTCAGATTGGAGGTTCAGATTTTACTAGACTGTGGAAAGAAAATGTATCCCTGTACAACACCATGGCATCTAAGCTATTTTCACTTCTGAGAAAGATTAAGCTGTACCCCAAAGAAACAGGTTCTGAGTTTTTGAAAGTTTTCTGTAATGTATGTATGCATTATATATGATCTCTTAATATGCATTAGAATTTGCTTTTTTATTTACATATACATTTCTATTTTAAATGTTACTATCATTAGATCTAAGTAGCATTCTACGATACTATAGTTGTTATAACTTACTGATGTAATTATTATGTACGATTAAGGATGTTCATCCTTTACAGATGAAAAAATTTATTCTGGAGGGTATGTCTTTATCTTTCTGTGTTACTCATCTGTAATGCGAGTTGACAAGTAGTGTAAGTGAAAGAAAGGAAAATGAGATGTCTAGATTACAGGTTGCTTTCCTGGCAGCCACAGAAGCTGCTAAAATTGTGTTGATAAGAGTTTTGGTAAGCACTTGGAGGTTGGGCTGAGGTAGATTCAGAGGAAGAAGGTAGCCAGCTGATCTGCATACAATCTGGGGACTGTATAACTCAAAGTTATTCTTCTTGGTCACTCTTTACATACTGAGAGTTTTCCACTCTCTTTTTCAGAAAAGCTTTTAAAATGCTCCTAAGTGAGGTGACTGAATGGCTCATAGAATTAGTAATGGGATGCAGAGCTCTATGCCCTCAGGTCACTGGTTCATATTCAGTAAAAGACAGTAATTAGGACAAATCCTGCTCTAAGTCATGGAATTTCCATTAGAGTAAATGATCACTTTTTTATCTATGAATTATTATCTGGTATCTGATCAGTACCCTACATAAATGAGTGAACACTGTCCAATTTTTAATAAACACAGTAACACATACAGCTGTAGGAAGGGCCAAGAGAAACAGGACAAAATAGGTCAGTATGCTCCATATATCTACTGAGTCACATTTCCTCCCATTTACAGCTGTCTTCCTCTGGTGTAAAGCTCAAACAAAGGGAGAAACTCCCTCCCTGGGGAATGCTCCAAGTGTGACCAGGCTTAGACTGATGCATTTATCATCTCACTGCCCCTACTCAGTCCGTCTAGTGGTATTAGTCGCAGTACTTAAACGATCAGAAGATAGATTTTTTAAAAACAGAATGTGCTAACTGTTTTCCTGCTGATTTTTGCTCCTTACTCTGTAGGTAGTGATGAAATTAATCCTACATAATTAATCCTACCTACATGCTTGCAGAAGCTTTAGGCACCCATCACAGTTGAACTAATTTTGTCATGTTGCCATTGCCTCTTGAGCTAGAGCAGCTGTAAGAATATATTTTATTACTGTGATAAATCACTGACTCACATTTAGATATGTCACATATATACACAGATAGTTTTATATAAGACTGTGGTTGTATTGTTCTGTTTCGCTGTGTCCTTCATCAAAATTCCCTTCTTCTGTAACACTTAAAAGGTATTAATTGCCTAAAATTAGAGCTATTAGACAGACTGAAATGGGGTTATTACATAAACACGGATATGAATTATAGATGAAATTTATATAATTTATATAACAAATACTGTTCTGATTTCCTTTCTCTTTGCACCATTTGTGTTGCTTGCTTTCCTGAATTATTGCCGTAACTTGAATTGAGCTGCGAGCTGTACAGTACCAGCCTGAGATGTACTGTCCAAATTACATACATCTATTAACATATATGCATCAGAATAGCTGTTAAAATTGAAAGTACTAACATAATTGAGGAGAAAAAGAAAGAAAAAGAAAGGAGTTAGATAGAAAATGAAGAAAAAATTATTATTTTTTCGGCATGCTGGTTTCACTTGGGCTTCTAGTATTATTTGCTGTTTTAGTTGTCAGCTATTTCCTTCTCAGATACGGCAAAATATTTCATAAAAGAAAATATTCATGAATGATAATACAGTCTCAAAGTGCCTGTTTATTCTACTGCTTCTAAAATATCCTTTTCTGAACTAATCTTTTTCATTAATCAAACAAAAATACTACTATGCACAGATTTCCTGTAGTGCTCATCTACCTAGAAAGACTGAGCAGGAAAATGAATGCATCTGCATTACAAGCAAGTGTTTATTCCTCCAACACATTTTTCATTCTAATCAATTACATTGAAAGTTTTGGCTAAAAGTAGACTTTGTGGAAAAGACAACCATGTACTAAGAATAAAAATTACT